CTTTTTCAACTGTCTTTGTTTCTTAACTATTTCATTTTTAATCAAATGAAAAATTACTTCATACGTTTTTGAGATATTTTTTTTCTTAAATAAAAATAAATTAATGTCATTAAATTATTTTTTGGTCAAAGTTTATCATATACAAAGAAAACGCTATAAAATTCGGTGAGAAAAACAAGGCACTTTCTTAAAATTATTTGTTATTGGTCATTTTTGAAAATGCTTCTAAAGATAGAACATTTGGTTTCTTTTCAAAAATCGAAATGTTTTTTGTATGTGCAATTCTAAAAATGGTTATATAAATTAAGATCGAAAGGCAAAAATGAAGCTGAAGAAAAAACAAATTATTTTACTGTTTTGAAGTTCAGTACAAATGTATTACTTTTCTCAGTTAGCTTGTCCATCAATATATTTCTTCCTTATTCGTGTTCAGTAATGTTCAAGCTCCTTGTGGCTGAGGGATTGTCTTTTAGTGTTGATGCAAAAGAATTGCAGTCACAGTTAACCGAAAGAGCCGACCAAAAGTGTTCGAATAACTGGAAAAAATTCTGGAAACAAAGTGATCCCTCGGAAGCAACAAAATAACAGAAGAATTGCAGACTCGGTTTGATTGAGTCTGTACATGAGGGATAATGTATAAGTGCAACATCCCTCACGCCCCCTAGCACCGGCTTGAGCGGTACTCAATTCTCAACACTCTATAGTGTTGGCATCAATGATCCCGAAGGACAAGAAAATATAACAACACTGAAGTGAAGTACGGGGCAACTTTTTACGGCTGCCACACGGCACTTGACACCTGCTGTTGTGAAGTACAAAATTCTGGAAACAAAGTGATCCCTCGGAAGCATTAATCACAACAAAATAACAGAAGAATTGCAGACTCGGTTTGATTGAGTCTGTACATGAGGGATAATGTATAAGTGCAAAATCCCTCACGCCCCCTAGCACCGGCTTGAGCGGTACTCAATTCTCAACACTTTATAGTGTTGGCATCAATGATCCCGAAGGACCAGAAAATATAACAACACTGAAGTGAAGTACGGGGCAACTTTTTACGGCTGCCACACGGCACTTGACACCTGCTGTTGTGAAGTACAAAATTCTGGAAACAAAGTGATCCCTCGGAAGCATTAATCACAACAAAATAACAGAAGAATTGCAGACTCGGTTTGATTGAGTCTGTACATGAGGGATAATGTATAAGTGCAACATCCCTCACGCCCCCTAGCACCGGCTTGAGCGGTACTCAATTCTCAACACTCTATAGTGTTGGCATCAATGATCCCGAAGGACAAGAAAATATAACAACACTGAAGTGAAGTACGGGGCAACTTTTTACGGCTGCCACACGGCACTTGACACCTGCTGTTGTGAAGTACAAAATTCTGGAAACAAAGTGATCCCTCGGAAGCATTAATCACAACAAAATAACAGAAGAATTGCAGACTCGGTTTGATTGAGTCTGTACATGAGGGATAATGTATAAGTGCAACATCCCTCACGCCCCCTAGCACCGGCTTGAGCGGTACTCAATTCTCAACACTCTATAGTGTTGGCATCAACGATCCCGAAGGACCAGAAAATATAACAACACTGAAGTGAAGTACGGGGCAACTTTTTACGGCTGCCACACGGCACTTGACACCTGCTGTTGTGAAGTACAAAATTCTGGAAACAAAGTGATCCCTCGGAAGCATTAATCACAACAAAATGGACTCATGCATCTCTTAGCTCCAGCAGGTTACGTGGTTAAGGTTTGTACAAAATTTATTTTAGTTCGATTTTGTAGGAAGCTTATAGATACACTTTTGAATCCGTCCCTGGAACCAACCATTGAGTAATGAGTGTAAAGCTTCTTGCTAAATGAAACAACGATTTGCCCCTGACGGCGTTTGGACCCATAATGCATTTTTGACCCCTGGCGTGCTTTAAGTTTTTAACAACCGAGGTAAGCAAAAATCATCTTTCCTGTTTCGGTGACATATGACAGTAACTGTGTTGTTGCACCGTAAAACTAAAGAAAAAAAAACGAACAAACAAACAAGATATTCTTGAAATGTGCCTGATATTATTTAGCAAACGAGACGGTACACAATACTTTTTAATTGAAATTAAATTACGTCATAAAAAAATTTGAAAGTTGCAGGTTGCATCAAATATTGCATTTATATGTAAGTTAACACTAACGCATAATTATAAATATGATTTTAGCACAACATATGTAACGGATGTATATAAACGCGTGAGCATTATCTGAAATTAAAAAGACTGTTTCAAGTTTAAACAGCTATGCAACTTTACTAAAGTGCTTCAATGCTGATTAAACTTGACACAAGTGTTGACTGGACAATAGTCTTTGTAACGGCATGCTTAGTACGAGGGGACATACTTAATTCTATTTTTATGCATCTAAAACGATTCCAAAGTGCTGCAACTAACTTCTCAATGGATTAATATAGAGTCAAAATATTTCCAGCGTCGGTTACGCGTTACCTTAAGATCGACCTGGGGTATTTGTTAGTCTGTCTCAAGCCAAAAATCGTCAAAAATTGAGGCTCAAAGGGGGGGGGGGGGCGTTAAAAGGTGTGCATAAGAGGTAATGGAATAATGCGACACAATATATATATAAATATATTTTACTTCAAAAATAACATGTGATATTTAAAAAAAGAAATTAATATATTATAAAACAAAAATATCACATGCCATAATATTTAGGAGACTCCACATTTTTTTCCTCCTGCTTAAACATGATAAATATATATACATGTACACAAGTAGTCTGCTATAATGACATGAATGAGTAATTACAAAAACGAATATGTACTGAATAGCCGAGTATTTTTTCTCTGAACTGTTGCATAAAAGTCAGAGTGCAATGATAGCCCAAGATCGCTCCACTGAAGTTGAACGGACGAAACAATTTTTTTTTCTCAATGCTACACACCAAATAAATTTTTCCCTGCACTAGGCATTGAAAAATAAAGCCATAAATGTAAATGTTAAAGCATGTTCACAGTTTGTCCAAAGAAAAGAAAAGTATTTCAAAAAAATCGGCCTTGATATATGACTGTAGAAGTGAAACGCGAATAAAAATGGCAGATAAATGTTATGGTGGTAATTTGCGAAAACGCAAACGAACGGTATAGACTGACTCTTTGGCAATCTTGCATTTTCGCACCGGTTGTTCAAGATCATGCACACAACAGAAAGTGCTTATAAAACGATATTATTGTAAATAAAATGTTAATATCATGCTAACCAATTATATATCATCACTTTTGTATAAATCGACAACGCATTTATTGAACATCATTATTCAACGTATTGTGGCATATGACATATGCTAAATGAATCTGCTAAAAAAGCTAAAATACTAATATCAAACCACTATAATAAATAAAAATCAATTACAAAAGACACTTATTTTTGTTAGCATAGATATAAGTTTTAGAGATATTTTACGAATTTAGCATTCCCGGTTATATGCAATGAAAGATTTTTGGCTTTACCAAGTCAATACAAATTTATGGAGAATCTACGTATTCACCAGCTAAAGCATCTTTTGTACATTTCTGAGTTTTGTATGCAGAGAGTCGCAAAACAAAACATATATATGTAGTGTACACACATCACTGATCTAAGGTGTGCACTGAAAGTGTCATTTTCAGAAAATATTTACTAAAAATTGCAAGGGATATGCCTTCCTTTTAACATCTTCAGCAAGAACGGAATTTCTGTATTCTCATTCTTAATAGATACAAGGATTAAGAACACTCATCATAATTATTTCCTTTGTGAAACGTGTTGTGTCATTCAAGGTTTCAATCCAAATTCGATATCTGTAAGATTTATTGTTCCTCGCCGGCCAATCCTTCATCCCAAGAGTTTGCTAGTTCAATGTCATCTACAAAAATAAAACGTTCATTTTCGTGTAATACAACACTTGTTATAAAATGTTATAACTTGAAAATATGAGTCGAAAATATGACAAAAAGGTCAATACTCTTTTACGCAAAACTTGAGCAAGTCATCGGAAATCATAAAAATCAAGGGCCCAGTTTAAACCTCGATTAAACGCTCTCTCATGGGTTTCATGGCATTTTGTATTATTTATAAAAATGATATCGATAACAGTTATCATCAAAAAACATAGTTAAACTTACAATTTAATATTACTTTCAGAAAAAAACAACAACATTAAAGATTATTATTTATTTTGGTTGAATTCTTTCTTCAAGAAAAATATCTCTTGCATTCACTTAAAATAAATTAGAAACCATGAAATAAATGCCTTTTTAGGAATTTAAAGTTCCAAGTTTCATCTGGTTAAAGGTGAAATATTATGAATTTAATACCATCAAGAACCATTACAGTCCTATAATCATGGTAATGCAACAGCGGCGCAGTGCATACAATTTTACGAACGTTGGAATTTTATCAAAGACTAAAAAGTGCCCTATATAAATATGCTCCTTGTAAAAATCACCCAATCTTGATGTTAAATTTGCTTTAATTTCATACTACATGAAGTACTAAATGTTTCGTCATTTGAACTTTGAATTCTTGTGAAATCAAGTTACAAATGTTTGTAGTTGCAACGTTAATTTATTCATCAAAGCGTTAAAAAAACATCATGCGTCATCATGAACATGTCTCAACAACAAGGAAAGTCTCCTTCAGAAAAATCTAACATGTCTACCAGGACAAAGAAAGAAACGCTTCTTAAATATGTAGTTCATTTACAAACGTTTTTACGTTTTGCAGGCAGCTTGACGACCAAACATTCCGGTTGTTAATCAAAAGGACTGCGGATTATATGAACACATGATATTTTACCTATGGGTTCATAGCCAATATAATGTATTCAAATTCTTCTAATTTTGGGCGTTTCTAACGCAATAGCCAGTATGCATAGGAGAGATAATTAATTCAACTACGTCATCTTTTACAACAGTGGTTCATAAAAATCCCGGGGCCATATATCAAGGTCCGTTAATGAGTAGGCTCTTAGCATATTTTAAGCTAAAGTTTAAATCAATATACTGGTAATAAAATATATGATATAGATAATCAATGACCATTTTAAGTGCCACAAATTACTACAAATGTGAAAACCAAAGCAGTATATTCGTTTGTATTTTTGTTTGACACGATCACGGACTCGTGCATCCCGGATCACTGGTCGCGATGTTGTCCTGTACCATCATGTAGTACAAGAAATGACCCGGATGAAAGATTCTGTAGTATAATAAAAGCAGGTATATCCAGTTGGAAAAAAGCGAACTGTCTGTTTTCAGAGCAAACATGTTAAAATATCAATCCTTTACTGTGTCATTTCGATTACTTTATACTATATAATGCATTTGAAGACAAGTAAGATGGTAGTGTTTTGTTACCTTTTGGAGGCATGCTGCTTTAATGCTTAAATCGTTGTCACAACGTTCAGACCTACACGTATGCGCATTACTATGGATTCTTAAATATGCACGTGCTGATCATAATGTGATAAATATTGATATGTTTTGTGTGTTTTTGTTTGTTTTGTTTTTGTAAAGAGGATATATCACGCATCAATATAGTGTCTGCAATATGGACTTCAAACTTATACTATTGATTCTACCGTTTATATTGTGTTTCTCTTGATCATCCTCATAACTCCCCAAAAATTTCCTAGAGGGGAATTTGTGTAAACACTTCGTAAATTACTGTTATATGGACAATTGCTATTTGAACAAAAAGAAAAGTGTTAAAATGAAGCAATGCTTACCTGATGTTTTATATTTGAGATGACGGGGTTCTGAAAAGCCTTTGCAATTCTTAGCCTTTATCTCTATTATATAATCTGTACCAGGTTTCAAACCTTTGCACGTATATGACCAAATACTTTTAAGTTTACATTCAGAACCGACCTGCTTCTCCTTTTCGTTGTTGACCTTAACATAAAATGTTTGTTCATAACCGCCGTTAAATCCTTCTTTCCACTCAACTGTCATAGTTTCATCTTTGACTCCATCTACCGCCAATTGGAAGTCTTTGGGTGGATCTGGGCGACCTTCAAAGTTAATTGACGAGATTTTAATGTTGTTTCGTTATAAACATTAACAGACAATGTGTTTGTTACAATCATAGGTATCCGTGATTAACGGACGTTTAACATACAATGTGTTTGTTACAATCATAGGTATCCGTGATTAACAGACAATGGATTTGTTTCAATAAAAGGTTTTCGTATTATATTTACAACAACACTATCACTAACACAGCATCATCAACAACAACAACAACAAAAATAACAACAGAAACTGTATTTAGCTTAAGCAATTAGAACAAGCAAATGTCAGCATACAGTGAATTATACCATCAAAAAATCTTTATGAGGTAACGTGACAGATTGTCTGCTTAACGGGGTTGACATAGTGATAGTGTATTACTTCGTTTGTATTTTGAAAAACACTACAATCTCTCAGGGAATTTTACATGTTGGAATTTTGTAAGACTAAAACATATATTATAATCTACACTTCTTTAAAATTGTTTAAATTACGACACTTTAAAGACTGTATAGTCTTCATTAGAATCAGAGGAGTTAACTTATATTGTATGTGTACAAACTAAAGGTACTCTTTTATTCTGAATTTTTATAGACCTGAAAATGCCTTTTTATCTAATCTATCCTAATATCTACCTATTGCTGAAATACTGGAGACAAAAATAATCAAAGCGCTTAAAGCACAAGATATAATGTTCCAAGCGGGGAGCCACCTTTAAGCAATAATATTACTTAGAAAGTTGACCAGAAATGACTTCTGTGCAGGGTGAAATATGACACTCATTCCCTATATTTGACTGTTCTAGATACAAAGTTTTTTATTTGTTTTGTGGTGTGTAAGCAGATTTGGATCTAGCATAAACATCATTCCCTCAGCCAGCACAACCCAAAATAATCATATCTTTAGAGCCCTGAAAATCTTCTTATCGGAATCTTAAGTGACAGATTAGATTTCAATAAATAGATATAAATTCATCAACGCTCTGGTTTATATTAAACTTATCTTATCTTTTTAAACTGGTAAATAGCTTCTTAAAGGACTGATGATGTTCATATCTAATTCTAAAATTATTGTAGAAATAGAATTCAAGTATAAAATATAAGGACTGGACTGGTGTTTTGATTTGTCTGAGACAATTAACAAACATATTAAATCCTGCATAGTGTAATCAATGCATGTATTGTCATTTATTGATGTAAATATTAGTCTCATATATCTTATTATAAAACAAGAGTGGTAACTATTGTATCACAGTAACTGTTACTCTGATTTTTAAATACTTTAATGTCCCATCTGTATACAAATATATATATGTTTAATATTAATTATTATCAATATCTATGTCAATATCTATTAAATATGTAGAAATCCCTTTGAAATTTGGCCATCTTTCAACTGACTTTTATATACATGTATAATATGTAAATTTAATGATAATACTTTGGTAATGGAGGTCTGATTCTTTCTCTGATTCAATATGAACCTGGAGAAGTATACCTGTAACATTTATCATTATTTGCCTTTGGCTATCATGCTTATGATGAACTTGCAGTTTGGTGTTGTGTGATTGTTCCTACTCTATTTATCAATAAAATAAATAGATAATAAGAATGTTCATAATTTTATTACCTGTTAACCATAACCATAGTGTGGATACGCAGTTGGAATTAAGTCTGTAAACTAAGATGAAGAAAAGAACAGTCAAGCCATTTCGAAACACAGGCTACTTTTTCTTAAAATGAAGAAACATTTAATACCTCCAAAAATACCCTAAACAATAAAACTGAAAAATATTGCAACCTCAGTTTTATTTAGCCATGGAAGGTTGCGGTTATATATACACATAAGGTTCATAAATCATTCCATTTTTCAGATAAACTGTATCTAAAATTTAGTTTGTAAACATTATTTAGTTTCAACATCAATGAATGTTTAAATTTCTGAAATATAATATTTATATGTAAATTTATTGTTTTGAAATTAGTGAACTGACTTCGGTTTCATTGTATTTATTTAAATAAATAATTATACGGTAATTGATATATTTCAAAGAAGATTAGAGGCTAAATTACAGGTCTTATATGTTACGCACTTTGCAATTTACTAAATGTTTCTCTGGTGGTTAGCATATGATGCAGCCTCATCCTTAAATCAAGGGTTTATTGGTATGAAAGGTCACTCTTGACAAATGAAATATATAAAACTGTTCACTTATGTAGTTGGAAAATGTGTAAGCAGCCAGATAACTCAACTGGTACAATCCCCATATTGTATCTTGAGGGTCCCTGGTTCGAATTCTGCTCAGACTGCACAATATTCTTATCTTGTGATATATGGCGCAAATTGTGGGACTGAGTGATTGTTTATAGATGAGAAGTAATCTCTGAGCCAATACAAACTGTTTGGATAATTTTCAATATAGGATTCTAAGTATGTCACAGTAAAACTCTGTTTAATAATCAGGGCAGTAAATTATATCTTATTTGTTAGAGGCTCAGTTGCTAGAATGGTATTTAGAGAGTCAAAATTCTCCAGACAGGCTGCATATCTTTCTCACGCCCAATATGGGGTTATCACGGTTCAAGTCATTTTTTCAGTGTTCCAACAAGATATTTGTGGATAAGTTTCATTATAGCGAAAAGAACTAATCACTGTTTAGAAGAGGTAAATGATTCGAATCACGATCAGGTTGCATTTTATTTGAACACTGTGATTTTAATGAGCATTTATAGCTTATCATTTGCTGTGTTGCATATATTAATGAGCATTTCTTTAATTTATATTTTGAAATAGTAAGTGTTTATAAATTCGACTTTATTTTCATAGTTGACAGTGTAACAGTACTAAATTTGACTTCTATTTTTCGAGGCACGTATAAGTTCGCATTTAGTTGTCTGCATGTAATGGATGCTTAATCTTATTGGTAAGTTTTATTTCACATAGCCTTTAAGGATATATTGTAATACCAAACAGGTTTTGCGCGATTTTTAAAAAATGAAAGCTGAATCTATATGGAGTCCTCCTCGTTGACATTAAGCACCAAATGGGCCTCGTGTCGTCTTGGATTATTTTCAGGTGTGAGAGGTAGTTAACTTAGTTGATCTTTCTGGCGCCTTGTATGGAAATACCAAAAGATACGAAAAACGTTAAAGATAAAGAAATATATGTAACAGAGTCTATATGGACATTAAAATGAAGATGTTAGACAGTCAATATTTATATATAAATGTTAAGTGCATTTTATCATATTAAATTCATATTGAGTTTAAATCTTTGATACTCTGTTTCGTTTAGTATAAATGCTATGACCAAAATTCACTAATTGTCCCACACTCCACCCCGCCACTGGGTGGTGGGGGGGAATTATGAGGTTGACTAGTTTCCCCACTTTCCCAATGTAGCATGCTTACAGTGTGTACCCCGACATGACCCAGCATAAATGGATGTCATAATATTTGAGCTGACAGGCTTTTGTCTTAACATCACACTGATGATCATGGAATATGTAGGCCTACTGTTCTGATGTGGTTCTCACTTTCGTGTAAAATAATTAAAATCTCTTATCTATTTCTTTCGCAGCTATTGCCATGACTCTATCATTGATTTGCTAAAGCTTCTATCATTTTTTATATTTTTGCAAAGATCCTGTAACATAATTTTTTTTATGGTTTTATATCATAAATATGATGCTCAAAGTAAGATTTATTAATTTTGTAAGTTACAAAAAGCATTATTTATAAAGATATAGCGAATTTAACATTTAATGTAAATAAAGGCAGGTAATAAAAAATTATTTTCTATAAAGTCTAAGTAGAAATGAATGCACACATTTTAATGATTACATATGATATGTACAAATATTTGCAGTACATAAATTAACAAATTGTTTTATAAGCATAAATATATACATATATATAATTTCACTTTAGTGTGGTATACAACCGCAATACAACATACAGGATTTTTAACCGCCGGCCTAAAGTTGTACGGAACCGAGCGCGCAACTACGAAACACCGATGGAGACATTTCAACTTTACAATTTCACGATCACGATTTAAACCTCATGAATTTACAATTTTAACTTCACGAATTCACGATTTCAACCCTGCCAGCGCAAGCTCTAAATTAATTAAAGTCTTTGTTCGAAGGACATCAATATTTTCAGTTTCTGTGATACGTGTTTTTGTGTGCTATTTCTATGCGTGAATCATAATTGAAGGCGTTGGAATACTAAAATTTTAATGGTGGTTACTATGTTTTAAAGTAAATTAAATGTATGATTTTGTATCAGGATATGTCTCAAATCTTTAAAAACGTATGCAAGTTTTGCTATCGCTGAACGTAAACAAAATGCATATTAAGCATAACTTAATGTCACGAATATTTAATTTGCTTCACACAATTAATTCAAATAGAGTTAAACAATTAAGGAATCATGCAATGGTATATATAATGAATGCTTGAGAATACCCGGAAATTATAAGTCCGAACATTTTCATGCTATCTTCATTAATTCAGGCCTTTTTTCCCCTATCCCAAGGGTCTGAATATGGGCCCTATTCCCCATCCAAATTATGTTTTTTCCCAATCCAAAAAAAATATTCCCAATCTAGAAGTCGGCAATTTGAAAGAAAATGTAGCGCATTTTCAATTTTGGTGTCGCGAAATTAGCATCACGGTACATTTTCATGTTTTGTGAATAAAAACAGGATTTTTAATTGATATCAGTTTACATTTGTACACATTTTTGCCTGTCCTTGTATTTTTGATATGACATAAAAAGCTGAACAGTTTAGGTAAGATTAATTTAGATTTATTTTCTTGAATACTAGAATATTTTTCCAAATTGGCAAATTTCACGACAAATTTTTTCCAAAATTGGTAAATTTTACGACACAAATTTCCCAAATTTGCTATGTGGCATTTTCCCTAAATAGAAGAAAAAAGGCCTGTAATGTTATACCTATATAAAATCCATGTTATGAGTTCCATTTGTTGTAAAGTAAAATATTATTTATTTTATGTCGTTCAGTACCAATTAAGTCAACCTGATATAACCATGGTAAAGCCACAGCAATTCAGCCCAGGAAACACAAAGTGCCTAACATGATTTACCGCAAATTGATGTAAACTCTGAAAAATGTCATTCTAAAAACGTCCGTCATTAAAATACGATATTGTTGTGAATGCATGTACATGTATTTGTAGTCACAACTAATTTGAAAATGTTGTCATCAAGATTTCGGAAAGTCCATACTCGAGTATCTAGTTAGTTGAACAAAACTCTGTGAGTGGCCTACTCGTTTTTAGACAGCTAAAGATAACACAGGTCATTTGAGGAATGGAAGGCTGAAAATGGTCTTCGTCGCTGTGTCGATTTCAATAAGACATTAGTGCTTGGTCGAATTTTTCACAGGATATTTTAATACAAAATTGTAACCGAATAATTGCATTTATTTAGGCTTCTTGGACCTATATATTGCTTTCATCATATTGAAAACTAATTTTAAAAATAAATAAAAGTGAACAGAATTCATGTTGCAGAAAAAATTGCCTCTAAGTAGATAAGTAGTTTTCTACGGTTAACTCATAGACAACTACATTAAGTCTATTTTTATATGCATTCGTGTAATGTAAACAATTATTTCAACGCGCACATTTTTTATTTAAATAAATGTTACAATATTAATGTAAAATAAGGAAAAAATGCTTCCACATCAACGTTAAGAGACAACCGAAATAATTCATCAAATGGATTATTCACGGAATACGAAAATTCACTTCGAAAAAATGTTTCAATGTGCTGTTTTACTAAGAACAATAGACAAAAAAAGATATTAAAATGAAGTACTGAAAATAACTAAAACTCTATAATAAAATAACTTTATAATATAAGAACAAATACAATGAGCCATGCTTACCTTTCGTTTCACAATCTTTTAGAATACGAGGATCTGCTTTCCCTTTTATGTTTTTTGCATATAATTCGATTTCGTAAGTAGAACGAGGTTTCAATTTTGCGCACTTAAATGAATAAGGACTTCCATTTGTAGGTAATGACTTGACTTCATGTTCTTCTCCGTTGTAGTAAACAAAAAATGTTTGATTATAACCGCCGTCATATCCTGGTTCCCATTCCACTATAATACTTTTGTCTGTGATGCCATCATCTGCAATTCTGAAGTTCTTTGGTGGGTCCGGGTTGCCTACAAAAATGAATTGATAGAAATGCTGATTATCTTGCGCTACTTATTCTTCTACTGTTCGTCTATGATATGGCAATAATAGATAAAACACCCAGTGAATTTTAAAATCATTTTGATAATTCATATTCGTATTGTAATAAATAATACTTTAAGTTAATATAACAACAACGAAAATTGTAGTATTCGGGGAAAAGGGTGTGTTATTACAAAATGAATATTGGACCTTCTCTGACAAAGTTATTGAGGTTGTGAACGACTTTAACTATCTTTGCACTGTCATTAACTATACTTGTAGTTTTGTTGTAAACCAGTCACATTTGATTGGTAAAGCTTGTAAAGCAATGAACATATTATTGTGTAAATGTAGTGAATTCGATCTGAAACCCAAACTATTATATCATTTGTTTGACTCCTTTAAATGACCTATATTGAATTATGTTTCTAAAAAAGGGTTATTTAAAGGCTAACAAGAAAAACGTCATAAAAGTCATCTAAGATACCCGTCCGAAGTAAAACTGCCTGACTTGCATATGTTATATCTAGGTTTTCGATACATATCGAAAAGTTAGCAATGCTTGTATATCAATGATACGGTAATTTCTTGTAGCATTTCGTAATTATAAAAAATGAAAAATAAGCATATTTATATTGATGTCTTTTCAAAGTAAACTTATAAGATTAAAAACCTTATTGTTGGTCTAGTTATTTTGGAGAAAATATGTATTGTAAAGTAAAAATCAGTAAGTATTTATGTAAAATAAACTGTTCACTAGAAAATGTAATGAGAACTAAATGCAGTGTAAAATGTTTTGTGGTAAACAGAATTTAAAAGCACATTAGGACTAAGAAATGATATTTTTCTTCTTTTGAAAGGACATAAGCATAAGTTTTAGAAAGTTTAAATAATTACTTAAGAGCTTCTTATATGGTAATCAACCGAAGAAAGTAGTGGTGAATACAAAAATGTTTTGCCATAATAATAGCAAAGTGTACTCAAATTAGTTGTTTAAGAAGTCCGTCATTAAAACATGGAATTCTTGTGAATGCATGTAAATGTATTTGTAGTTACAATTAATTTTAAGATGTTGTCATCAAAGCGTCCGGAAAACGGGAACAAAACATGAGCATTTATCAAGAATTCGGATTGTCCAGGAATACGTTATACGACAAAAAAGCTACTCGAGTAATATCTAGTTAGTTGAACAAAAATCCGCGAGTGGCCTAGTAGACAGCGAAAGATAACACAGGTCATTTGCGGAATGGAAGACTGCGAATGTTCTTCGTCGCTGTGTCGATTACCATAAGTCATAAGTGCTTGGTCGAAGTTTTCACGGGATATTTTAAAACAAAATTGTTACCGAAAAAATGCATTTATAAGTTTAATAATATTTTATTGCTCTTTGAATACAATTTATAATATTATTTCCACAAAACAAATTTTTTTAACAAAGGGCAAAAGGGTTGAACAACAAGTTCTAGCAACATTAGTAACTGTCCTTCCCTTAAGCATTATAAGATATAGAAACGAAAACATGTTAAAACACTATACACATGAGCAATTACAAATATTAAGGCGGAAACAAAAACAAAGTAGCAAATAGATTTCGACATCAAAATTAAGAGAAAAAAAAACACACAAAAAAAAACATTTGCTTATCAATTTTTAAATAAAAAAAATAAAAGTAATTTTCCTGCACTTGCAGTATGTGATGGTTTGTATGGCTGTCAAAATATGTCATTTATAAGGGGAATTAAAAGAATTAATATTGGAACAACGATTGTTATTTTTACATGTACTTATTTCTTATTATCTAAATCTATGTGAATTTTTTATATATTTTTGAACTTCATGAAATAAAAAAGAGTTTTCATCGACTGATAAATTTTCTTTTCCATAAAGGAGAGTACTTGTACTTAATGGATGAAAAGGGCGAGTGGAAGTGAAAAGTTGGAGTCTTTGAACACCAAAACGTTTACAGTTAAAAACGAAATGTTCAGCATCATTCTGAATTTAGTTGGTGGGTCCGGTCTGCCTTAAAAAATGAATTGATAGAAATGCTGATTATCTTGCGCTACTTATTCTTCTACTGTTCGCCTATGATATGACAATAATAGATAAAACACCAAGTGAAGTATAAAATCATTTTGATAATTAAATCCGTATTGTAATAATTAATACTTGAATATAGCGACAACAAAAATTGTAGTATTCAGGAAAAAGGGTTATTACAAAATGAATATTGGACCTTCTCTGAGCAAGTTATTGAAGTTGTGAACGACATTAAGTATCTTTGCACTGTCATTAACTATATTAGTGATTTTGTTGTAAATCAATCACATTTGATTGGTAAAGCTTGTAAAGCAATGAACATATTGTTGTGTAAATGTAATGAATTCGATCTGAAACCAAAACTATTATAACATTTGTTTGACTCCTTTGAATAACGTATATTGAATGATGTTTCTAAAAAGGGAAATTCAAAGTCTAACGAGGAAAAACGCCATAAAAGTCATAAAAAGTACACGGCCGAAGTAAAACTGACTACCTTGGATATGTTATTTCTAAGTTTTCGATACATATCGAAAAGTTAGCAATGCTTGTTTAACAATGACACGATAATTTCATATAGCGTTTTATAATCATAAAAAATAAATTATTACCATATTGATATTGGTGTCTTTTCAAAGTAAACTTATAGGATCAAAAATCTTATTGTTGGTCTAGTTAATTTTGAGAAAATATATTTTGTAAAGTAAAGCTCAGTAAGTATTTATGTAAAATAAGCTGTTCACTAGAAAATGTAATGAGAACTAAATACAGTGTAAAATGTTTTGTGGAAGTAAGTTGGTTAAATAGATCTTAAAAACACATTAGGACTAAGAAATAATATGTTTCTTTTTCGAAAGGACAAAGCATTAGTTTTAGAAAGTTTAAATAATTGCATTTTATATATTTTTAGCTTTTATATATGGTTAACACCCAAAGAAAGTAGGGATGAATACAAAACTGTTTTATCATAATAATAGCAAAGTCTTATCAAATTAATATTTTTAAGTTTCACAATAATAATTAATCACTAGGACTAAATGCCAATAGCAATATAGGCAAAAGATAGGTTAGCTTATTTGAATATTATTCGGAAACTTTAAATGATATTTAAAAATAAATGAAAGCATTCTTGAGGCATATTTGGCCTTTAAATATTTGAGCAAAATACCAAGACAAGTAAAGAAGTATCTTGTACAAAATATTTTAGAACTTCCGTTTAAATTTTGTTTTAAAACAAAACCTAGCCTTTATTTTTTTATTTAGAACTCCCCCTTATTTTTTAGAAAGATGAGAAATTTCTTTTACATTTGTTTCCTTTTTAGAACTTCCAATGAGATTCCCTGATTTGATTTCAACTTGTAATTTTAAAATTTATATTAAGTAATGCTAGCGTTTATGCCAAATTAGGCGGATATCAATTGTACGTTAATAGATATGCTAGAACATAAATTAGATTTGTTAAATATTGTTAATACGAATAATATTATTTTGATAGCAGTTTAAAACGACGCCGTTGCAGATAGTAATAAGTGCTGTCAAATATTATGAGATAATAGCTTCTAATATATTTTTATTCATAATGAGGCAGTATTTATAACAATTTCAAAAAAAACAACATAACAATCATTTGACCTTTCGACAAGGAATCAACTTCTGTTGTTTTTTTTTTCATTTTGCTTAAATTAAGTTGTTATTCACTCAGAATTCAAACTGGTAGACACGCTAGAAATAATACCCGAAGAGAGCAAAAGTGCTGTTTGTGTTATCAATCATGTTATACTGAAGATGAAATCAATTTGATTTGCGTTTGTTAATTTTGCTACAATGTATTAAAATATTATTTATTGCGGTAAGCAGATTTAGTTATAACAACTTCTGGAGAGACTTGTCAAATTTTGAGCGAAAACAGCCAAATTACTAACTCTGATTTTCTGCTGCGCAGTACAAAAAAGTTCTCAAAATATAACAACAAATTACCAATGATTCGAAGATTTTTCATGTGCTTTGCCATTATATCATAATGTTATTTTATGTGATTTTGATTACTCGAATGAGATTGTGTGAAAATTTGTTTTTGAAAATATTAACATATGCTTGCATAATTACGCCCGATGTTACTTCGCTGAATTCCGTGAACAATCCAAACTACTCGCAGCGGTTATTTCCCTTTATCAATACAGTCTACGCCGACGAATTAAGGGGAGATCACTGCATGGAGATTGTGAACAATCGTGTTTTCGCAATTTCGTGAGATTAGGTCGTAAAAAGTACAAGTGTTTATTCATTTTGCTTTAGGGTTAACTTATACAAACTAGACCTATCACTGAAGGTGATTAATACCCCCACCAGCAACTTTTTGAAAAATAAGTAGTCTGAAGAAAAATTTCAACACAAACTATCAACTGTGTACAAAGAAATATTTCAATTAATTGTAATCCCAACTGGGGTCTCCAAATAAGCTTGCTTTTCACAAAGTTTGATTACAATATCTCATTCCTAACTCTAGTTATTGTCCGGAAACCATTTTTCTATTTTAAGGAATGGTGACCTTGACCTTGACCCCAGGGGGTCCAAATGCAATACCAACCCAGGTCTTCATATAAGCTTGCTTATAATACACCAAGTTTGATAACAATATCTCATTCCTAACTCTAGTTATTGTCCGGAAACCATTTTTCTATTTTTAGTAACGGTGACCTTGACCTTGACCCAAGGGGGTCCAAATGCAATACCAACCCAGGTCTTCATATAAGCTTGCTATACACCAAGTTTGATAACAATATCTCATTCCTAACTCTAGTTATTGTCCGGAAACCATTTTTCTATTTTTAGTAACAGTGACCTTGACCTTGACCCCAGGGGGTCCAAATACAATAACAACCCAGGTCTTCATATAAGCTTGCTATACACCAAGTTTGATTACAATATCTCATTCCTAACTCAAGTTATTGTCCGGAAACCATTTTTCTATTTTTAGTAACCATGACCTTGACCTTGACCCCAGGGGGCCTAAATGCAATACCAACCCAGGTCTTCATATAAGCTTGCTATACGCAAAGTTTGATAACAATATCTCATTCCTAACTCTAGTTATTGTCCGGAAACCATTTTTCTATTTTTAATAACGGTGACCTTGACCTTGACCCCAGGGGGTCCAAATGCAATACCAACCGGAGTTTCCACATAAGGTTGCTATATACCAAGTTTGATTACAATACCTCATTCCAAACTCTAGTTATCGTCCGGAAACCATGATGTGGACCGACCGACGGACGGACGGACCGACCGACCGACCGACCGACAAGCTGACTCCTATATACCCCCCCTAAACTTCGTTTGTGGGGGTATAATAAATATATGTCAATTATTTCTAGTTGCAATATTGTCAAATACAATGTTATTAATTATCATAAGGAAGAAAGAAAGAGAGACAATAAACAAATACGAATATCATCTATGTGTAATTAGTATGTAGATTTTGTTCTGGTTAGTCTAGCTAGTTAAGCAATTTTTGTGCATGTAATGGGTCAGATATTTGTTATTCCATTGTGTCAAATGATTATTTCTTGAATTGTTCAAATCAATATTAATTTATGGAAAACAATAAAAATGGAGAGAACTAGTCTGCACATCCGCAAACAGGTCTTCCCCAAAATAGCAATGTCAAGGAAGGAACTGGTAAGTGGGAGAATAGTCTGACTATCTATGCTTTACAATTCTGGGGTTTACCGCATACAACACTCAGTGCTTTGGTTAATAATATTACTATAATAATCCTACAGTTTACATATAATGCAGTAACTGAAATTATAAATATGTCAAAATCGTTTAAAGAAACATTAATTATTGGAAATGCACTGCCGGTAGAAGAATCATAACACTTTTACTTGTGGTAAACTCGTCGATGTCTATATTTAAGACTGAGTAAAGAATTATGTTTTGTTCTGTTCTTGTATTGCATACTTCGGAAAATAATTAAACAAATCAAAACCAAAGTTTTTATTTAATGTACTTATAATAAAAACAATCAATTCGTTTACGTTTTGATACAAATTATTTTCCGGATAATCACTCGTATATGTAAACATTTATGTTCTTGAAGGCGAATGTGTGTAGACACTTTGAAAAAAAAAGTTCAGTTGTACAATATATCTTGCAACTAGCAAAACATACACCAACTATTCATGAACAATATCTATGTATTATGATCAAATTTGAAAATTATTAATTTAAAGGCCTCCGTTACAATAGTACGAACAAACAAAACGAGTTTAACTGGCCATGCTTACCTGTTGTTCTATATTTAGCATGGCATGACGCTGACCATCCTTTTCTATTCCTTGCTTTTATCTCTATATTATACCATTTACCAGGTGTCAAATCTTTGCACGTATATGACCAAATGTTTCCACGTTTACAGGTAGAATTGACCTCCTGCTCATTTCCGTAGACGTTAACATAAAATGTTTGTTTACAACCACCGTCAAATCCCTCTGTCCATTGAACTGTAATATTAGTATCTGTGATGCCATTTTCTGCATCTGTCAAGTCTTTTGGTGGGTCTGGTGGGTCTGTATCACCTTCAGAGATTTATTGAAAAACATTTTGATGATCTTTAGTTATAAATAAATAATTAAACAGCCAAAGGATATGCAAAAACCAACGGTTGTTTTTGGAATGTTTTCTATGCAAATCTGTAGAAAGATGGCGGACAATGTTATTTTTGCTATTAAAAGTCTGGAAAAGAGATTTTAAACAACAATATTACTTAAGTATTAAAATTCAGACTGAGTTAAAATCTAAGTCTGTTTTTTTGAGAGATTGTGTGCAACATCCCTAACGCCCACTTACACCGCCTGTAGCAGTCTTTAACATATACATTGTGAAATCATTAATCCAGAAGGATAAGAAATATATAACAGCACTGATCAACTTAACTCAGCTGCCATCCGCTTGGCACCTGCTATTATGAAGTATTTATGAAGAAATAAAAAAGATTATAATTGGAAATAAATAAATAAATAACAACAACAATAAAGTTTTTTGCATTTTTTTTGTATACGGGCCCAAAATGACGTTAACTTTAGTTAAAAGGTAGTGACGTTATTCGTTTGAAATCAATATTATATCAAACATGTTGCTAGTTAGTAGAAAATGTTTTAAAATATCTGTCTTATGAACATAGATATACATATATCACTTTGTTTTAATTCTAGTATGCAATATCGAATTGGCAAAGTAATTGTTTTACAATGTTGCCAATAATATACGATTTATTAATTCAAAGTTGTATATGCAGGACTCGCAGTAGGATGAGTCCAGAAAACTATATGCTACTATTTAATGTATTGTGATATTTTATGTAGAAGCAAATGTCTCCATTCTATGACATAGAAGAGATATTCCGACCTAAAACAAAATACTGTACCCAAGAATCTAGCATCGGATGTTAAAATACTTGGACTATCAAAAGGTTCTGAATCTTTCGAGTTAAGTAACCAAAGATTCCAGGAGTCAAATCTTTTTTTTTTCATAAACGCATATGTTTTCTGTTATCTGTTTTAGTAAACATTATTTTATATATTAATAAAACGAAAAATGGTTATAACGAAAGGAAATCAATTCCCACGACTTTAACCCTTCTTTATTTATATGCCTCCTAACATGCTTTGGATACAGCGAAACAACTGTTATAACGTAAGGATTCTTAGGTCCCGTGATACATATGTTAACGTAATTCAGCACGGTTATAGCGAAATCGTTTTTTGACAGTACAACAAAGAGAGGACAAGTGATTGCCTACAGGTGTTGGTTATAACATCTCTATTGATCATGCGTTGAAAAGAGGGCTTGATATGTTTTCACAAGTTTTCTCGTGACAAGTTGTAAAAGATATTAAAAAGGCGTTATCACTGTTGTACAGCGTCCACCGGATATAGCCCCTAAAACGCCGAAAACGAAAGTAGAAAGCTGCACAACGAGTACACCCAAGGTAATGTTTTAACTTATTTCTTCATCATAACTTCATCGATTTTTCCAAACTCAACAATATTCTGAAGCTAAATGTTTCTAGTTTTACAGCAATATTTGCTTTTGTCTGCAAATTGAATGCTTTTTGATATATTGGTGATAAATTGTAGCGAATTTGTTGACATTTTTGAACGATGTTGATATTTACCACTAAATCAAGCCCGAATCGCATTTGCTGCATCAAATTCCGCCGTTAATACAAATTGTAGTTATCCCATTACTTGTATTTGAGTTTTCACCCTTCAACTCGAGCTGATTTTGACAAAATTTGCGAAAAACGGCATTGCCTTGTGTACATAGTCTAGCACGGATATGTACGGAGTGTTGATGGAAAAGTGTTAGCGAGTGTACGGGGTGTAGTAGGTAAACGAATGTCATTTTCTGCAAAATGAATTCAGTACCGGAACATATACACGTACGCTGATGAAGAAAACGATCAATGTCGGGAGCAAGGATTATGAAGTGAATGATTTTAATTTTATAAAGGATAATAAAAATGTTTTAATTAATTAAATTATAAACATGTTACGCAGCGTGTATATCAATTGCAGTAGACAGTTTCCGTCCTGCTAGACCACGTTTTATGCGTGACTGTAAGTTAATAGGAATAATGTAAAACTCAAAAGACCACAATTTCAATCCATACTGGTAGAACATTCTATAATTTGTCTTTAACAATATCAAACCATGGTCGAGTTGTGCATTGTGAACTAAACTTGATCTTAACTTGTTATATTGGTTTATTAGTTAACTGGTCTTAAGACTTCATTGAAAAATAAAAATATGTTAATGAGCTTTGGTAAAATCATTAACTACAAAGTGACCGCAGAGTTATGTACAGAACAATGTCGAAAAAAAGCTATTGATGACAAAAATAAGAAAATTCACATTTCTATAAGGAACAATGTACCAAAGGATAGTCCAATCAAGAAAATCATAAAATTTGGCAATCTCAATGAAAATGAATTCTGTACATCTGATCTTTCTTCTCTTCCAGAAATGCTGACATGTATTGGACATATCTCAAGAAGGTAAAACATTTAATTTGCAGAGTTAGTACAGATTCTACCAGCTGTGATTTATTCATTTTAAGACAGTGGTCAGCTAAAGACTATGTACTATACAACAAATTGTAGCAGAGAAACGGTATCTCAGTTCTAAGTCGACTTATAGCTTATACAAGGCGGCTAAAACTGTTTTATAGACAGTGCAAATGCCGTTTTTTAGAAAATGACACTCGTGCATAATCTTTTAAATGTCTGATCAATTATCGACTTCATGTCTTATGTATATGTTAGTTATACATGTATACAACATGTACAAAATGTATATATAAATCCCAATTCGGACCATTTCCATTCAGCGAGTTGTTCAGAAGACTCCTCAACATGTCTTATAAATACCGACAGACACTATTCATCTTATGGTTGTGATGATCTGACAATGAGAATTAAATGTAGTTATATTTTAGACTCAATTATAGTAAAAAGTTAATAATTAAATCATTTACCAAATAACTCTGTATCGTCCTCTAATTTATCCATGTTTAGTCTGAAATGAGATTATTTCCAATTAAAAATAATATAAAAGACTATACTTTAAAAAATATGTGACTGCTAGACACCGTTCAAATCAACTAAACCCTGTACATTAAACTACTACACCCCGTTCACTTGAATTTGTTTTCTTTGCTAGACTCTGTACACAAGGCAATGCCGTTTTTTTGCAAATTTTGTTAAAAGCAGCTCGAATTGAAGGGTGAAAACTCAAATATAAGTAGAGGGATGACTATAGTTTGTGTTAAACAGCGAATTTTGACACAACAAATGCGTTTTTGGCTTGAGTTAGTGGTAAATATCAACATCGTTCTCACATGTCAACAAATACGCTACATTTTATCGCCAAGTGAACAAAAAGTATTCAATTTTCAAACAAAAACAAATATTGCTCTAAAACTAGAATCATTTAGCTTCACAAAATTTTTTAGTTTGGAAAAATCTATGAAGTTATGATGAAGAAATAAGTCAAAACATCACCTTGGCTGTACTCGGTGTGCAGCTTTCTACTTTCGTTTTGGTGTTTTTAGGGGCTATATCCGGTGGACGCTGTACAACAGTGGTTATAATAATTCGATTGTTAAATCAAAAATATGTATATTTGAAAAACGTAAACAAAGACATCATTTTCAATGGTTTATAAATGGTGAACTGCTTGAAGTTGTTGACCATTTTTGCTATTTCGGTGTAAATTTTACATACACTGGTAATATGAAAACTGCTGCTATTACGCTGTCTCAACAAGCTTTGAAAGCATACAATAATTATTGTTTGTTAGGGTTATTCAGTAGAGTACATTTAGATATAAAAACTAAAATGTCACCTTTTGATTTTATGGTGCTACCAATTTTGTTATATAATGCAGAGGTTTGGGGTATTTACGATTGCAAAGAAATAGACAAAATTCATGTTAAATATTGCAAGTATATACTTGGTGTACGTAAGCAAACACCGAATGTTGCTGTGTTTGGTGAGTTAGGAAGATTTCCTCTTTCTGTTATTTCTAATGAAAGAACTCTTAAATTCTGGTTACAAATTATGACAAAACAGGACTCACCAATGAACAACATGTTTGTAGACCAGTGTAATAGAAATGTTGATTGTAATTGGGCAATCAGTATAAAACGCTTGCTAGACAGCTTAGGTTGTAGTGATATTTGGCTTAACTTTAACTTAAATTCTAATTATATGCCAATGTTAAAGCAGCGTCTGCGTGACTAATATATACAGAACTGGAATACTTCTATACATAATATGCCCAAGCTTGATTATTACAGAAAATTTAAAACTTTGTTTTGTTAATATTAAAAATATCTTGATGTATTAACAAAGAGTTTGCTTGTTTCAGACTAGGCTCGCATAACTTAAATATAGAAACTGGGAGATTTTTGAACATTGATAGAAATGATCGCAACTGTAAACTATGTATATATAACTATATTGAATCTGAATAACACTTCCTTTTATGTTGTCCAGTTTATACTGTTATAAGAACCAAATATTTAGGAAATATTTCATGGCCTACTATACAAAAATTTCGACTGTATTGTCCACTAATAACAAAAAGCTTATTCTTAAATGTGCTCACTATGTTCATAATGCATTTAAGTTGAGGCAACAGTCTCTTGAAGATGTAACTGCTTCTTAGTTTTATACTTGTACTCTTTTTTGTTATATATTGTATGATATAATGTTTGTAACTATTTAACTTTTAGTCATATTTGTCATGATAATGGCCAAAGGTAATATTTATTTGTCGATTTGCCAATAAAATGAAATGAATTGTTAAAAGTATAAACATTTCCATGAAATGTGACTTGAGCTGATTTATTTTTAGACCTACGTGTACATGTGTATAACACTTTTTATCATAATTATTTGATTAAAAATGGATAGAGGTTTAAAACGAAAAGCTATTACTTTGGAGACAAAATTTGAAATTTTAAGTGAAGTTCAAAAAGGTTTAAAGAAAAAAGATATCGCAATTCACAATC